CATATAAGCATAACTGACAATTATCACAAAGACAATCATCACACTATAACACAAACTAGTGGGCCGACCTTGGTGCCTTCGACCCATGGCTACTGCGAAGCATATCTGGGTGCTGGCCTACCCCTTTGGTCTATTTCAACCGGATAACGGGTCTATTTCACCGCTACTACTACCACATAATATCATAACAGCAATCACAGAATCATTAAGCACATACAAGCATAACTGACAATTATCACAAAGACAATCATCACACTATAACACAAACTAGTGGGCCGACCTTGGTGCCTTCGACCCACGGGTACTGCGAAGGAAGATTCACCTCAAACCATTGATAATCCACTAGCTGCTCGGGTCGGTAAACCGGATAACTTCGCACCAACTAACAATACATACAACCTTAATTAATAATTAACCCGATAACTCAAAATCTGAGGCCCAATCCATAATCCAACATCCTAAAGGGTAAAAGGTCATTTTACCCTTTTCTTACTTGGCCCAAAACCAAGATCCAACCCATTAGCACAAAAATCCCAAATCTCTAAATGGCAACCCAAAGCCCAATATGGCCCAACTTCCTAATTTGGCCCAAAACCATCATGAGACCAATACTAAGAAATCCCACAGACTATCCATGGCCTAAAGTCAGAAGTCCAATGGCCCAACAAGGCCCAAACCTTAAAAGTCCCAAAATCAACTTATTGGGGAGTACGCCTCGCATACCAGAAGGGTACACCCCGTGTATACACCCTTGAAGCATAAGGTACAAGTGATCGATGCAGAATTCAGAATTATGCTGAGCGTACCTCCACGTATGCCTAACATACTCTACAGGGACCCTAAAAATCAACATTAAGCTCTTAATGGTTAAGACAATGACTTCCAAACTCAGATATGGCCCTAATGAGATGTCTTAACACATAAAGTTGGCAACTTTACTTCCTTTTCATGGCTTAATGGGACCAAAACCTTAATACCAACCATAATAAGCACCCAAACTCATTCATGGTCCAACACAACTCATCAAGATGACATTTTTATGAATAAGGGACCTCCCAAATGTGAAGATCCAACATACTAAGCTCTTGGAGTAGCCCATACTTATAAGGATGACTCTAAGGACCAAAATGAACCTAAAATACTCCTTAAACTGGATCTAACACCTAGAGTCGTCAATAGAAACTTTATACCTCCAGAAGATAGATCAAGGTGCACAAAGGATGGATCCAAAATCTCCAAGCAAACCCACACTTCTCTAAGAAGCTCCTTCTTCTTCAAAGATCACCAAAATGCATGAAATACCACCAAAGGCTCAAAAAACACACCAAAGGAGGCTAGGGTTTCGATTCTAGGGTTTAAAGGGATGGAGGCTGAAGATAATAGGGTTTGGTGGTGAGTTAATGAGCTTAAATAGGGTCTAAGATCCTAAATTAGGGTTTGGGTCTGACAGGAGTACGCCCTGCGTACTTCAGGTACGCCCAGCGTACTCCCTTAAGCCTCTGCGATCCATCTTCTTAGTACGCCCAACGTACACCAAAGTATGTCCGCGTACTGGACTTAGCTCTAGTACAGCCTACATACACTTGTGCACGCCCCGCATACTTGGTTTCACCCTAAAACCACTAAACTTTCGAAGGCCATAACTTCTTCATTCTAAGTCTGTTTCCGAAGATCCTTATATCCACGGAAAGGTGACGAGAAGCTCTACGCTTCTGTCAACTCATAATTGCCTTAAAATTTCCCGAACAAAAATCCCATAAAAGCCCGAACTAACACTTTACCCATATACCCCTTGGCTCCAAAACACAAACCGAACTCATGGATCATCTAAATTACATTACCCACACCCAAATGGGTCTAAATCTCTCTTTTCCAAATGTCCTAAGCCTTATGATACCTGATCTTCAGGTCACTGCCCTGCATTAAGAAATCATTCGGAACAGGGCATTACACAATGGTTCCACACTAGTCTTTGTCATGATCAATACCCAACACCTCGCAACTAAATTTACCAATAGTTTTTTCTTTTTGACGATGGTTTGGTTTCAATGGTGTTAAATAACATGTGTGTTGGTCCACAAGTTTTGCCAATCTGAAACATGGTACAATTGTCTAGTTTTACAGTCGAAATAAACCAATAAAAATTTTCATCAAAACATGCTCCCTAAAACCTATTTTCAGTCCTAGTGTCATTCAATTTCAGAATCGTTTGCTTCTTTGTCTGATATACCTAACAAATCATCAGTTCGCTCCTCGATTTCTATATTATCATCAATACTACCTTCATTTTGACATGTACCAACATCAACAACATTGGTGAATGTACTATCATTATCATCATTGTTACATGTAACATTATCAACATCATTGTTACATGTACCAACATCAACATCATTTTTAACAGTGCAAACATTATCATCACCTAAGTATTGATATTTTACTGGATCGACATACTGAATTTTTGGTTCGACTAGTGTTTGATATGTAACTATAAGCATTTGATATGGAACCATTGGTAATTGATATGTAATTACCGGCATTTGATATGGTACTATTGAATTTGTGGATTGAACTGTTGTTATATCGTTGTTCGATATGCAACATATCCACCAAGATTGTGAGGATCATTTAGAGATATATATATATATAATATATATATATATATATATATATATATATATACCTACTTGATTGTTGCTACCTCTTTTGCTAGATCGGTTGTCAACAAAACTTTTCTCTATTCTGTTATCGGAGCCTTTTTCGCTGCTAGATCAGTTCCCGCCAATAATAGATCAACTTTCGACATTGTATTTATGTTCCTCTTTGACTAGATCATTATCCACCAAATACAGACGTACATGAGTTGAAAGTTAATGAATAATCTTTTTTAAATGCTTCACATCGCTTTCATCAATTGTCTTTATAACATATTTCAATCTATGGTCTTGGAAAGACGAACTGATATTAAGATTTGCTTTCAAATTTGTCTTTTGTTTGACTAAATTTAATAACTCTGGAAAATTTATACCTAATGGAATATGAACACTAAAGTTTTTAACAAACGGTCTATCGTATATATATATTTCTATTTTTTGAATTAAATATATAACTAGGATAAATGAAATATTATTGAAATTAAATATATAATTAAGGGTAAATGAATTAAATATATAATTATTGATAAACGAAATATTATTTAATAAAAACTTGTTAATTTATAAAACTTAAAACTCAAAAACGACGATCATAAACTTTTAAGTGGTTGGTATTGTTGTCCCAAAAAAAACTGTTATCTCTAGTAAAAAGCACTTTTTAGGTTAATTATATCTTATGACCTTTTAAAAAAACCTTCTATTTGTCATTTGTTTTATTATTGACATGGTTATCTAAGATATCTATAAAATATGTTTGTTTATGCTTATCCTATTCAAGATTTTTCTCATACAATACGTACGACATGTCAAGTATGCACGTCCATCAAAGGGCTTTTGGTCTAGCTGTAAGAAGTGACTCTCATTTGAAAGGTCATGAGTTCGAATCTCGCTTGAGACATTAGTGGTGATAATTAGGAGTAACTTAGTTTATTGTTCCAAAAAAAAAAGTAGGTCTGTCCCAAATGGGTATGACAAGTTCGGCAACCATCCAGGCAGGGTTGTAATCGAGTCTAGTAATGCCAACCACAAAACACGAGTAGTACCGACCACAAAACATGACTCCAATAAAAAAAATTGAGATCTCGATCGAACACGCTTTATTTTCAAGCACGATTCTAGCTTGATAAAGTAATCGATACTTTTGAGCTTGCTCAATTAATGATTAAAAAGATAAATCTATATTGGATTGCAATAGAAATACAATTAAGGTTGCGAGTTCAAATCGACTAAGCTTAATTATATTAGTATGAATAAAATATAAGGTATAAATGTAAATATATATATAAGCTTGATTAAGCTCACGGGCAATACAAGTGGAGTATATCAATACTTGAGCTCAGCTCAATAACATACTCGACTAGTTCAAGCTCGAGCTCAACTTGAACGAAGTTGAACTATGGTATTTTCCGAATCGGTTTCAATTAACTCATAAGATGGCTCTGACTCCATTAGAAAAGGTCACATGTGCAATACTTTCCTACCTTATATTACATTTTAGTCACTCCCATTCAATTTATATAAGCTATTATTTCTAAACTAAGATATTAATGTATAGACCATCTGGGTAAGTCATTTGCTTTACATTTGACGGTCTTTATGTGTGGCTTATGTTTTCAAGAATTAATATTTATTTATGGGCAATCAATCTTATATGTTCTAGTAAATTTCTCTTTAAGGGGCTTCTTTTTTCCTTTTGCTCCAGTCTCATATATGTTTAGATGATCCTGATGATCCTGATGTGAAGTGAAATTAAAAGTTATGGTAGAAAACTAGAAATTGTAAACTTTTGAAATTTGGGAAGAGCTTAAATGGGCCAAAATGTAACCTGAGAAACCCAACAAGAGCTTCATGTTTTTAAATAAGCTGTTAAAGTTTACGTATTTTCTTGGTTGTGGCCTTTTGGGTCCCAATAATCTCATTCGCATATTCTTTTTAATGTAATTAATTAAGAACGATGTTATGAATTTGATATTAGCATCTTTAAAAATCCTTCAAATCCAAAAAAAATCATATCTTTCAGATCTCAATAAACAAAATAATTTTATGTTATGTTTGGTTTAAAAAAACAGCAAACACAAGATCAACTTGTGATTACTTGTCTGACATGTCGATTTCTTAATTCACTCATTGATGCATTTAGCATGCCTGCTTAAATCTTAATGTACAACTCATTATTGCATCCTAAAACGTCCATCATGCAAAGAGTACAACACCCTAATGCAGGAGCCAGATCTGGATCAAGATCTGCTCAAGTCAAGAATCCAAGATTTTGCAAGAGATAACATGAAACATAAACTAGTATCATTCCAAAAAAACAGAATATTTACAAAACTTTATATATAAAAAACTCGATGAAAAACTAAACAAAATCATAAAGATCATTCACATAATATTATCATAGTAAAATTATTATGTACAGACACCTAAAACCTTAAAAATATTTACATGTGATGATCTTCTTCCAACTGCAACCTGTTTCTGTACTTTAAACTCTTTAAAGACACCATTTTCTTCAATAATTTGTCAAAACTTTCTTGATGTTTAAATGGCATTGTCACTACATGCAACAACAAAAGACAAAAAGGTTAAAACTTTTCAAATCGTTCCTATCAAAAAATATTAACAAGTTCAAGACGGATGGGTTGACTTTTCAAATCATCATATTTTACTTTTCATTGTGAACAAAATTCAAGGTAAAATACCTGCGATTTCTCAGTTTTCTGCACAAGACTATCCAATTTTTTTTCAAACTCTTTAATTTCAAGTTGAAGATCTTTCTGCTTAAGTAGAAACAAGTTCCCATTCAATCTTTCACCTTCAAGATTCTGCATCTTTCCATTTACCCTCAAAATCCCATTCATATTTTCAATCTGGTCCTTCATCTTCTCCAACTGTTTCAACTTTAGACTCATTTCCTCCAAAAAGCCAATAATTTTTTCTTCAAAACAATCACAAAAATTCCATAAATCTATTTTCACTTTCACAAACATATCTTCAAGAACCCGTTTCTCTACCCTTAATTTATCAGCTTCCTCCATAGCTTTCATGGCTGCTTTCTCATTTACTTCAAATGCAGAAGCCATTTTTTGTGACAGCCTTCTAAGTTCCTCTTGAAGTCTTGAAGCCAAATTAACGTTTTGCAATCTCATTTTTCTCAAATTTTCCTCTGCCCGAATCGCCCTTTTCTCATTTTCAATCTTCCCACGTGTAAGTTCTTCAAGATTACCATCAAACCTGTGTTCTTGATTCACTAACTCTTCCTCAAGATTCTTGACATGGGTTTCAAGATCTTTAATCACAAGATTTGAGTTTGATAACTCTTTTGATTTTGATTTGAGTTCATTTTCCAAGCTTTCGATTTTTGATTCGAGTTCGTTTACACTTGAGTAAGGCGTACACTCGTATTGAATCTTGAGTTGTTCTTCAAGTTGACTTCTTTCAAGTTTATAAGATATGTCATGGTTTTCTTGCTTCAAGATTTCATAATCTAGTGCTATTTGCTCCATTTGCATTTCAAGTTCATCTTTATCTCTTTTATACAACTCAATTTCACCATAAAGATCTATAATCTTTTGTTCTAGTAAATACGTTTCTTTAATGCCACTATGGTCTTTAACAATCTCTTCCAACACCCTTTGCGCCTCATCATCATCTTCATCATCTGTCTCAGATTTTGACTTTGACTTTGACTTTTCTAAAGGAAGAACCAACTTGTTTGATTCTTCCATTTTTTGAAGTTGTAACTGGAGATTGGAGGTTAAATCTTTCTCACGGTTTAATTCTTTCTGTAGTTCATCAAGAAGGGCCCATGGATCATCTTTGACTTTGACTTTGACTTCTTCTGTGCGATTCTGATAGACATTTCTTTCTTCTTTAAGTTGAGCTACTTCCCGTGAAAGTTCATTGCCCTTTTTGATTTCCTTCATGATTTGTTTACGAAGTGTCTGTAATTCTAGCTCAGAAACATCATTTTGTCTAGTCAAAGCTACAACTTCAGCCTTGAGCTTTTGACTGATGACATCTGAAGAACTTTCTTCTGAAGTTTCTCCTAATGTACTTGTTGAAGAATCATCTGTACTTAATTTGGGATTAGAACCATTTAACCAATCCCATTGCAATGATTTATCTTCTTTTATTGATGATTCACGAGTCGGTTTTATCTTTTTAGGTTCCTGTTTTTGTGGGGTATTGAGTGTGGAATTGCTACTGGATCTTGAAAAATTGATATCTGATTCATTGGATGCCATTTGATCCTATAAAATTTTAAAGTATAATGTCTTAATAAGAAATAAATTGGAAGTACAATGCTACAAATTCAGTATATTTTCAAAGTAAAATGCTTTAACAAGAAAAAAAAATCAAAATACAATGTTGTAATAGAATGAAACAAAAGTAGGATGCTATAATACACAAATAAATGAAAGTACATTGCTATTTCCTGAATTTAGCTAGGTGAAATGAGAACTTACTTCAGTAGGATTACTTCTAATGCTTCCTTCAAAACTACCATTGCTAAAGCGTCTCATCAAGCTTTGATCATGGTTGTTTGCACTCTCACTTCTATCAATTTCCCTGTAAATTGTAAAAGTATAAATATAATCTTTAAAGAAGTTAAATAAATAGGAAACTTTAGCATTTCAAAATCCATTGTACCTATCGAAAGATCCCTGCACCCTTTGAACTGATACCTATTTTTGGAAGAAAAAAATATACAAACTTTTCAAACATGAACAAACGAATCCACTTAAAAAAAATGCACACAAGATAAAAAGCGACTAACATGCAAAATAGCTGCAAAATTTGCACTTTTTAAAGGAAGAGATAAAGAAAAAGCTTTGTGGCTTCAACATAACTTGCAAAATCAATTGAAACCTCTCCAACACCACCAAATCTTGAAGAATCCTACAAATTGTCAAAACCCCACGAAAAAAAAAATTTACTTTTTATTTATCTTTCTTGATTTGGAAACATATAGAAATATGCTTTGCATAAATTTAAAGCAATTTGTACCTTTGCCACAATAAAGTAATAGATTTTCTCATGAATCTTTCCGGTTTTTGTATCATGAGAGAATTTAACCGTTTCATAAAGTGGTTTTTCCCAATAACAATTTCCATCTTGAACTTTGGATTTCTCTAATCTTGAGGTTGCTTTTCCAACATCAGCAGGAACCACGGATATCATCAACGAATCTCCTTCTAATTGTGTCAACTGTGAATGCAGCGAGAAGAAAATGTATAAATATTTTATTTATGCAAAAGGGTTAATTTTCAACCCCTGAGCTGGCCCACACCACCCTGCTCTAGGATGTGAGATGTATATCAGGTACACAGTGGCCCACTAGCTGACTGACTCAAGAACTCAGTGTTACAAGGAGCACAATCCACATTGGAATTGAAATTCCCACACTGCAGCTACTGAGACTCGAACCCTTGACCGGTCTTTGATCATTGCTATTAATGAACCGACTCGAACTTTTTTTTTTAACGGTTTTTTATCGCGTTGAGGGCATACGTCATGGCCTCAAGTATAATATAAAAAAATCATCGTGGTTTTTATATTGAAACTATAATGCCTTAATCACCCCAAAATGCAAGAAGATACCATTAAATCTTACAGATTCTCATCTAATCTTGACTTCCTTTCCGTATATGTGTGAATAAAATGGAAAATGATGAAGAAATTTCTAAAATTTTATAGGTGAACATTGAAAGTTTCTTTCTTGGTCAATTTAACAAACAGTAGCAAGTCTTTTCAATATGTGATACAGTCATACAGACATCATGCATGAAATTATCAAAAACACATTATGGTTCTTATTTGAGAAATACAGTACCTGTGTTGCATGAAACTGCAACTTGAATACACCTTTTATCTTGTTCTTTTCGCTTTTCCATCTCGCCGACTTGAACATTTTATTTCTCTTTTTCTGTTTTATAAAAATATCAGACGCTCAATTCCACATTATCATACTCAAATTTCAGGGTATTCTACTCTTAGCTAAATCAGGAAAAGTCCGTACCTAAATCGGAGCTCCGGTTAACCAGAAATCATCAATCAACACGCCAATGTTTCATCGGTTCAAAAGCACATAAACCCAGTACAATTGCGCGAGTTCAAGTCTTGGAACACACAGATTGAGTTACAAACTGAGAAGAAATGGATAAACTAGTGAAAAATTGACCTTTTTGCAGTTTACCAATGTTACCTTCGTTCGAAATGACAAATACCCAGTTGAATTCCCTAAATTTTAAGTTCAAAAAACATGGAAACAAACAAACAAACGCATATACACACGCAGATTAGTCAAACGCCGAGTAAAGAAAACGCGAACCTAAGTGAAAGATGTGGGCTTTTTGGTTCAGAGAACTGAGAAGCGTATCTACAATGAAGAGCTCGTGAATGCTTCAGAAATGAGATTGGCGATTCACCGGCAAGATCCAACACCGAATCTCTCTGTTTCTGCCTCTGAATAAAACAAATGTTGCAGGTATGTTTGTGTATCTACTACTGTCCGTGCAAAACAAGAAAAGGAAATCGTGAACCTCTTCTCCCTTTTGACTGAAGAATTTCATAGGGAATAATGAGTTATCATTATCAATCTTTTTTTATATTGATGTGAAAAGTATAACATTCCTATATCGTTTTATCAATTAATATATAAAAAACTAAAAAAGACATTGGATTTTCAAGGTAATTATTTGATGCAGTTAATAAGTACATTATTTGGCGTCTAGAACTATTATTAGACGGTGATATTTAAAGGCCATGGCCATGTACCGACTTGTTATTTAAGTAGTTAACAAACATTGATTAAATGACACCTATTTACATAAACAAAACATAACAATATTTTTTATTTGATAAGGATGGGTACCATCTACAACATTGCGATCCGGTTTGGTTTAGGCAACGATATCATCAATGCAGTGATTAACCAACCGGCATAACCCGTTCGGTCAAGCCAGACAAGAAAAACGATGCAACACATAGCTACACAACTAAACCTGACTATACCAACTTAGCCCCAAATGAGACGTTCTACACAACACCTCAATTCGATTTATTGATAGAACCGAGCATCACTTATTTTGCTCATTTCATACCTACACAAGTTACATTAGGGGTGAGCATTTGGACTTCTAGACCATATCGGACCTAGATCTGTTTTTTAGAGTAGGCCTGGTTCTTGGTTCTTTGAATCATGCAAAATAGGTCCGAGTACAAAATCGGGTAAGTCCGGTCCAGGTCCGGTCCAACGGATATTTGTTTAAAGTAATAGATAAACTAACTTCAGTATGGCTTCAACGAGTTGTACCATATGCACCGAAAGTTGTATCGGTCTAACAGATACAAGAACCGGGGAACCCAGACCTGGACCTGGACCAGTAATCCTCAACATCAACAGGTCTGGTCCATGGTCCACCAATTTCTGCCAAACCGGTCCGGTCCGACCTAAATGCCCACCCCTGAGTTACACAAACAAACCCTATAACACAAAACAAGGATACACCCTAAGCAACCATAGCTATATTAGAAACCATGGCGGACCACGATCTCTGCACGATAGGACAAATTCACCTGAAGAGACAAGCAACCAACAACAAACAATAATGTTCCACCATTTTTCTAGTACAGATTTGACATCATAAATCACGATAAAAGACAAATGTGTACTCTCACACTATAAAGACCAACATACCATCATCGATAAAAAGATATTAGACTCTCTCTCTCTCTCTCCCTCTCTCTCTTTAATATATATATATATATATATATATATATATATATATAGTAAACAAACTTTGATCACTGCTAACTTAACTAAACTTGACCATCATAGCATATTCTCGGGACCTCCTCCTGAAGTACAATTAACCTATTATTTTGTGATATCAGATATCAATTGTATGTTTCATCTCATCATGTCACCACCAAGAGATACCTAGCTAAACTAGGATTACATTAGTGGCGTCATCTATGTAATCTCCATAAGAAGCTATCACCTCAGTAGTCCTAAGAATGGGTAAATGCGATGAAACCAAAGAAGGAAATGGCTTCAGTCTCATACAACCTATGGTCTCCCTTGAAACATCGGTGATCACACCAAAACTGACCCTTCCATCATCCTATTTTCCTTTCCACCTCTAGTACTCAACGAAGCCCCCAAAACAATTAAAGAAATTGATATTTTAGATCCTAGAGGCACACCCGTGGTAATACCAACCATGCAACAACCCCCGACGACCCATGTGAAATTTTTCGTATAGTCTATTTGAAATAGTCTTTTAAAATACCAATTTCAAGTATTTTGCAAAACAATAGTATTTTTAGGAAAACATCTTGCAAAATTTGGTCCCAAATGGCCAAGTCTTTTAGCATTTAAAATTAGTCAAGAAATACGAGGGTGTAACAACAATTAGAGGCAATGTAAAGTAAACAACTTACAAATATTTTAGAATAAACTAAAAACTCTTCTAAATATACAAGTTAACTCTGTCTTTAGTTTTCACCAACTCTTCCAAATTAAATACATATCAAAATATAAAGTTTTAGGCTTGGAAAGCCTAGTGAATAATATCAAGGTTTTCACTTTAAGGCTTTGGATGAGAGCGATCATCCAATCCTAATATAAAACCTCCAAAGTTTGGAAATATCGAAGGAAATACTTAACTCTTTAGTTGGAAAAGAAGCATATAAGAGTAGCATTGCTTAATGATTATTGGATCATCAAAACAAATTTTAAACCAAAAGGCAATGCAATGCAAATTCTTCTAAAACCCATCCCATGTGGATATTATAGTCTAACACCTCTCAAAGATAGATAAGTGGGTACATCTCCTTACAATAATAGTTAAGTGAGTTCATTTCATCATAATAGTAATTAAGTATCCTCATAATGATAGCTAAGTGGGTTCACCTCCCATCAAACTAGGTGCAAGTGATTTATCACACAAGTACCACACGAATGGTAGTTAGCCCAAATATATAAGTAAAGAATTTCCAGAATACCATCGCATCACCACAACACCATAATTGAGTACCCGAGTCGTAAATTTGGACACATAAT